CCCCAAAACCCCAAAACCCCAAAACCCCTTTATCTAGTAAGCTAATAGAATTAGTTTAATTTCGAGCTGATCCATGTCAGATACACATAATATTTCAAATCAGACCCCAACACAAGAGATATATCCAGGCGGACAATTCTTTGTCAGGCTTTTTGTCAGTGTGTTCGAAGATATCGAAGACTCAGAACCAATTGAAGAAAGACGGTGGAAGAATTATGACGGTTATCATTTTGTAAGCAGAGTCATCAAATCAGAAAACCTCAGCAAGCATATCGATCCATCAAAAGAGTTTAGAAATAATCTTAAGTATGCCTTAAGTATTCCTGCCCATCTTATCCGTTCGTTCCAAGAGCTAGTAGAGTATCTTTGCAAAGCCTTTGGGATCAAAGATCATGAAAATTACACCATAATGCTGAATGAAGATACTATGCTCTTTGACCTTTCCACTATTAGGCAGAATGACAAAATAAAACTAGTTAGGAAGGATAAGCTTATCAAAATAGCAAAGATGACAAAGGAAATTTCAAAATGAAAGGACCTGATGGCAAAATTCACCAAAGAATACTTAGATTACGTCCAGAAGCATCCATTCATTCTTTCCCTTCCCAAAGAATGGAAGAACTTGGAAACTGTTGATCTTAGTGCGAGTAAGGAGAACTCTGAAAAGAGTATTGCTAGCAACATTGGTGACAATAGTTCAAGATCAAAGAAGCTACCAAGAATTCTGCAGAATTTACACCAAAGAGTTTCAGTCTTTGAATACGACAATGAACTGTTCTATGAAACTCCTGCCTTTAAAGAATTCATGGATGAGTGCTCCAACTGTACAACTAGAGAAGAACTCCAAAGGAAGATCAAAGAACTTTCGGAGATGAGAGGGTTTAAGGTAGTCCAACCACAAGGAGAAGTAATTAACCAAAAGAGAGAGTTCAAGAACGTATTCCACTGCATCAAAGCCGGCAAGAACAGAAAAGGATCAAGCCATAAAAGAACAGGATGCCCGTTCACATTGATCTACCAGAAAGGACCGGGATGCTTGACTTACCAACTCACCAAATTTAGAGGTGCTCATAATCACCAGCTTGATGATTTTCCTGAAGACTACAGTAAGATAGCTGGAATGGGCTCTGGAGGCTTAGAAGATGAATTTAGTCAAGATTATAATCTAAGTAAGGCAATGAATATTAAGCACGATGAGTCTCCTCCAAAAGAGTTAAAGGCTGAAGATAACACAGAAGATTATTCAGTTGATGGCCTCCCGTCAAGCGACAGAATATCTCCATGAAAATCTCTAGAGTCTTCTCTCCATCTTGTCAAGGAACCCTCTGATTCCCAAACCAATGAGCCCAGAACAAAAAAAGAAGAATTAAAACCAAAATTAGAGACTAAAAATACTGAAGGTCATAATATGAAAGACATTGCCATGAAATAATTAATTTTCTATTTAAATGGTTCAGAGTGGGGTTTTGGGGTTTTGGGGTTTTGGGGTTTTGGGGTTTTGGGG